TGACACCATGCCTGATGAATAGCACTGTCCAGTTCTGTGAGATTTCATGGTTGTGGAACCAGCTGCCTGATGGCTCTTTTAACTTCGTCTCACAAATGCTCAACCAGAAAATCACAGTTTGATCAGGGCATATGCCAGGGTTGCAGGCTCAATCCCCACAGGAGGTAGCAGGTCAGTGATTCTCTCTTATCATTGATGTTTCTGTCTCTCTCTCCCTCTCTCTTCCTTTCTGAAGATAGATATATCTTACCTAATAATAGACAAACATGTAAATTAACCGTCTATTGCCTTATTACTAACTGGGAAAGCCGATCATGTATACACACACACACACAGGCACACGCGCGCACACACTAGAGGCCTGTTGCACGAAGAGATTCGTGCAATAGGCCTTCCCTTCCCCTGGTTGCCGGCACAGGTTTTCCTCCGGCACCCGGGACCCAGGCCTTCACTCCAGCTGGAGCCTTCAGTCTTCGCTCCGCCACTTTGCCCCTACGTATGCAAATTAACTGCCATCTTTGTTGGGTTAATTTGCATACTCTCCTGATTGGCTGGTGAGCATAGTGGAGGGACGGTTAATTTACATGTTTGTCTATTATTAGGTAAGATCTATCTATCTATATATCTATATCTATAGATATCTATATCTATCTATCTATCTATCTATCTATCATCTGTGTTTTTAGAAAAAGGTTGCAGTTCGATCCCTGGTCATGGAGCATTTTGGAGGCAGCCAATCAATGTTTCTCTCACATCTATGTTTCTCATTCTCTCTAAAAGTCAATAAAAATACCCCATATCCCCTTGAGGATTAAAAAATCAAAAGGATAGCCTACTTTTATCCTATAAACTAGATTACTTTCTCCTCTTGTATGCTATTATGATACCAGGAATATATCTCTTCTTCATAACCCTTATCATACTTCAAGTGATTAGATTGATGTTTATATTCTCAATGAGTGCATAAGAACCCAAGGATAGAGACCGTGTCTATGCTGTTCACTGTCATAACCATAATAATAATTTTATGTTAGCCTATAATTTATACTCAATAAATAAATAAATATTTAAGTGAATATTTCATTAAAGATAGAAGTTGGTTAGTTTACTTTCCAAACAAGAGAATTAAGATGTTTCATATGTCAATTTGACTAACTTTCAGAAAGTACTTCTTGAACATTTCCATTAGAAACAAAGGAGAGTAACTCACCCTGTTTGGGCCTCGAGTGGAATTTCTTTCATGAATCATACCATCCAATACTCTTCCTTTTTGGGGCTACTTGCTGAGAATACTAAAGTTCCAAATGGGGGAAAAAAAGCCAAATGGGAAGCTAAATATTGCCTTATTACTAACTGGGAAAGCCGATCAGAAATACCTTACCCGTCATTTCTATTCTACCCTCATTCCACTGACTGACAATGAACTTCATTGGTAAGCCCAGTTCACTTAGACATGGAAGCCTGATGGATTATACTGCTTCCTCTTCACTGAATTTATGCTGATTTCCATGCATGTAGGAGATACCTTATACACATGGTCCACTTAGTAAATGAAAGCTGAATTTCAAGGAGGTTAAATAACTTTCCCGGAGTTACACAACTTAGTGAGTGGTAGAGCAAAGACTTGAGACCAGGACTGTCTGATTCACTGCTAAAGTCCTCAATCACTTTACCATCTGATGGACATTATAAATGAGTAATAAAGAAAGTGATGGGGAAAGATATGAGAAGATGATGGGGAAAGATTAATTTTTGAAAATAACTTGGAAGATACCTTCAATGAAAAGTCATAGATGATGAGGGGGCTCCAAACTATGAGAATAGCTTAAGTAAATGTGCCAAGGCAGAATGGTTGTGTAACAGTGAATAAATCTGTGTATTAACTCCCACTTCCCCCAGGAACTCAGATGATAGCTGAATTTGCACAGGTATGTAAGGGCCTAGTTATAGAGACTTTTTATGATAGGCTGATTTCGCATTTCATTCTTTAAATGGTAGAAATCCATTAAAGGCAGCTCTGTGGAAATCATATGATATGAGAGTGGAGGTCTTGCTGTGAGCATGAAGAGCAGTTAGGAATTTGTTTCTACAGACTGAGTAAGAGAAGATTAATTGAGAAGTTGATGTGAGAATCAGAGTTACAGTACAGGTAATTCTGTCATAAGCCCAAGGTCACAAAGGTAATCAATGATAGATCCAGAGCTATAACCAGGTCTTCTGACTGCCATTCTAATCAATAGTCCATCCACTTAAAAATATGTACCCAGAAAGCATTTTTAACTTTTAAAGAAGAATGACTTTGAAAATGTCACTCAACCTTCAAATCTCTATTTTTATTCATCATTGGATGGCGAGATATAAAGCATTAATTATTCACCATGTACTGGTATTCAGTGTTTAATTGCTAGTTAATAGCTCCTAATATATTTTAAGGAAATCATCTTGTTTGTTTACTTGGAAAATCAATTTCTGTAGATGAAGATGAAAATATGCCCTCAACTCTATGAGTCATACTACAACTCTATTTCTTAATGCCACAGAAGCCCAGAGCTGGAAGCAAGGACCGTTCTAAGTTTTGTATAGCCTGAAGCTTATATAATTTCAGAGGGTGGTCTTTAAGAAAAATTCACAAAATTATTAATATAAAATTGTATCTTCAGAATAAATATCACAATAAATTATTGGATCTTTAGGGATTCAGGTCTTTTTCTGCTGAAATCTCTGGCTATTTACAGGATATGCTTCAAAGAAGTGCAGCCTTGCTTTTCCTTTATATTTTACTCTCTGCAACTCTCAGCCTTCATAAGGGCTCTTGTACGTGAGGAACCTTAAAGCTTAAACTTCATTTGCTTCATAGTAAACCTACCTCTGGTTGGAAGGAACCTTTGATTATCTAGTCCAAACCTGCCAAATCATAATCCAACCCTTCAAGAATTCATATCTAAGATGACCTCATTGTTGTTTTTTTGCTGAAAGGAAATCTCAGTATTACTTTTTTCCATAATTGTGACTGTTTTGCCCCCTCTTTCCCATGAAAGTTAAACATCTAAATAAAAGTATCAAGTGGGGCCCAAAACTGGTTTGGCTCAGTGGCTAGAGCGTCGGCCTGCGGACTGGAGGGTCCCGGGTTCGATTCCGGTCAAGGGCATGTACCTGAGTTGCGGGCACGTCCCCAGTGGGAGATGTGCAGGAGGCAGCTGATCGATGTTTCTCTCTCATCGATGTTTCTAGCTCTCTGTCTCTCTCCCTTCCTCTCTGTAAAAAATCAATAAAATATATTTAAAAAAAAAGTATCAAGTGGGGAAGAAACGTTTATGCCTTAATATATACCAGTGGATTCCTTCTTCTCACTGCTTCATGTATCCCTCATCAATTCTTGCTTGACCCATTGCAATATATTTCTTTGTATCAATACTGCTTCTATCTCAATCTTTATACAAAGTATGTCATTGTTTAAATGTCATTGTTTAAACAGTCAATTGCCTTTTTAAAAATTATGAGACAATGTCTTTTACATTTAAATACTATTTAATATTTTATGGTGTTCACTTATTATTTTAGACATGCATTCTATCTAATATCTTTTGGCTTTTCTTGTAATGCAGGTCTACTAGAAATGAATTATCTTAGCTTTTGTTTATCTGAAAATGATTTAGTTCACCCTCATTTTTAAGGATATTTTCACTGAATATTGAATATTGAGAGTTTTGTTCTTTCGTCACTTTAACGATTTCATTACTATCCACCATGATTTCTGAGAAAAAGTCAATGATCATTCTTATTGTTGTTCTTTTGTATGTGTCATAGCTACTTTTCCCTGTTTGCTTTAAAGATTTTCTGTTTATGTTTGGTTAAAGTTCAATTCTGAGTTGTTTTGGTATTTTTTCTTTTGACCAAAGACACTAGAGCTCATTTTAAAGCAACATATTGCTGTGCTCTTCAAATGCAATACAATACTAACTTCTCAGTCAATTGCTTTGTTGATGTCTATAGTCATCTTTACTCTTCTTTAGCTGTTGATGATCTGGTTTGGGAACTCATCAAACTCTTTTTTATTTTATTTTATCTTACTATTAACATTTTGGGCAATTCACTACTCATTTGAATATCTGAGAGAGGAGATACAAAGAATGGAACTCAAACTTAACACATTGCGCACCAGTAGTTTTATTGCTAGCTTTACCCAATGGCCAGATAAGTTTCTATTGAACGAGTACAGAAAACGTTTTACAAAGTATCATACTTTAAAAAGATATTAGCTTGTAAGAACATGTAATAAATACCTTCAAAATGCAATGGGTATTTAATTTTAAGGTGTGCCTTTAACATTTATGTAAAACACTGTGTAATATGAAAACACGAGAATGCTCGTGATCTGCCCTAATGTGTTAAGTTTGTACATTTTTAATATAACTGTTAGTTCTGTTGTTGGAGAAAATGGAAAATAATTTCAATGTTGTTTGTAAATTAATCATTGTTATTCTTACAGACTAACTACTTCTAATTTTTTTGTTTAAAACCTTTAACATATTCTGATAGAAGTTGAGAGATATACCAAACACAGTACAAATGCATAGCCCTATTGCATTTGAGAGTTAAATAAGATCAAATATATTAGAAGTAGCTTGTATACCACAAAGGTTAATTCAAATGTTAAGGTGTTATCATTTTTGTTTTTCGAACTAGGAAACTGAAGTTTGGTTGTAATTCTTAATTGCTTTATTGGTCCTTGATACATGCTCCATACAGTATCCCAATCTAAGACAAAAAGATCTGCTAGGTGATAAGGATTGAAAAAGCTGCTTGCATCACAGCCTGGCTTAGCTCAAAGCCTCTGCTCTGCATTTGGAGTCAGCAGCCTTAGAGATTGTGAATACTGTACCTATAAGTACTGAATGATGACAAATGTCACTGTAAGAACTCCTAATATTTTAAATGTATATACCCTTGAACTGCATGAACTTCTATTAAAACCCAGTTCTCTTAATTTTTATTACCAGGTAACCTTGGACGGGTGGACCAGGTCTCTGAGTTTGAGTATGATTTGTTCATTAGGCCGGATACCTGTAATCCACGCTTCCGAGTCTGGTTCAACTTTACTGTTGAAAATGTGAAAGAATCACAGGTGAGGGAAATAGTGGATACCTTCAGTTTGGTTTCGGTAAGAAGATTGTGCTTTTGTTTTAGGTTAGGAATATTTAAAAAGTCATGACCATATTTGGACTGTTTTGTTGTGTATATATAACAGTGATACAGTTTTGTTTCTAGAGACATAGATAAATAGGTATAATATGTTGTTTTTTGTTATCTAAAGATTATTAAATAATACAAATAGAGAACAAAAAGTATGCTTTAGAAACTGAAACTGAAGCATTAGCTTGATATGGTAGGCTTCCTTGAGGAATACAGTAAGAACCTATAGGAGGTGACTTGTATTATGTTTATTATGGTATGTTCTCTATCTCATTTCTTCTATAAAAACCTGTAAATCATTATACAGTTCTCACAGGGCCTCAGTTTCAGGAAAAAGCTTTTCTTCTCCTATACAATTAGATGTTTATATCATAAAAACAATATGATTCTTGTAACTCATTCTATTTTCCCTTTGCTTAGGCTGTTGGAAAACTCAGAGTCAATTTTATAGCCCTCTTTAATGATTTTGCTTGTGTTTTTGTGTACTGACTTTTCAAAAAATGCAGATCATAATAATCTGTCTTTAATCATGATTTCATCATTTACATTTTCTAACAGTGTATGATTTCATAATCCTGTTCAAATCTGCTTTGAATGGGAGAGTGTATTGATGCAAAGAGAATTAAATACATATGCTTTGAACAAACATTAAAATATAATCTTAAGAAATCAGTTATCATTCTGTTATACTGAGACAACTAATCATGAAAGACTGCACAAACTTTGTACACATAGTGATATGATTTTTTTTTAAGCAGATGAAAGCATAGCCCTATAACCTAACCTCTGCCTTCTTTATTCAGGGTCATCTATTTTTTAGTATATTTAGGAGAATGTGAGGAGGTTGTTTAATTTCCTCTTTCAAGTCAATCTCTCCTGTTTGCTCTTTCACCTTCTTGCTTGCTTCTCTCTTTTTCTCTCATTGTGTGTCAGACAGTGGTCAGCATCTGGAGTTTAGGGAACTCGGAGTCTTCCTTGGCTCAGGGCGGTTCCTGGCCCACCGGCTCCAGTCGAAGAGGGCTCAGGAACAGCCACGTAACTTTACTGCCGATTCTCCCAACTCCCTACAACATCACCGACACAGGACTTTGTGTGTGTAATGTTTACTGAAGTTTGGGGTTTAACTGGAAGGAATTAAATTTATGGGAGAGCTCTGAACATTGTTAGCTAAATATGATTTATCTCAGCATTTTAGGAGAACTGGGAGAAAGGTTTCACCCTACACAGAGAGCTGCTCAAGGATAAACTTTAGTTCCTAGGTTTGCTTCTGGGTTGTACTTCTCTTTCATGGGAAAAATCCATTTTTGGTGTTTGTTTTTTTTCTTTCATAGTAAGAGGAACAATATTTATCTCTCCACCCACCTTAGGAAAACCTATACTTTACCTACAGGAGCTCACCTGACCCTAGGATTGTCCAGCTTGTTCCATCAAGACAATCGATAATTCCAAAGTGCATTTACCAAAGTCTATGTTACTGAGTCTTGAGAATATAACTTACAGCAGAGGCTTTAGCCAGATGTACTAGACTGAGTCTTAGCACTCTAATTTTGGGTTCCCTATGAAGATCTCTACTATCGTGAGATAAACACACAACCTCTTTCTCTTCTATGGGTGTTCCTGTGTCATGTCAGTCAGTAACTTACAGTTGGCACATACACACACTACTGATGATTGTGAGACAGTATAGTCAATTTATATGAAGGAGGGGGAAACATTTTATTTAAAGTGTTATAAGCCAGGATTTCTAAATTCATAAAGGAGATTAGTCTTTTCTTCTTTATGCACAGCATATGTGCATGCTTCAGCTTGCCTACCACACACAAGAATCCACGAACTCCTCCAAAATGAGACCTATTACTTTTCAAAAAAACAGCATTGTCTATCCTCATTATATCCTTTGCTAAATAGAGACTTAGTGGAAACCCTGAAATTATAGTGTTTTTTAATTTTGGGCCATATTAAATTCCAACCCTAATTTTATAGTTATGTTTTTGTTGTTATTGTTTAAAATATCTCTTCCAGAGTTATAAAATATTCATATTACATGTTGAAGTCATGCAGCCTATTTTCGTAGTCTTGTTTACCAGTTCAATAAGCAAGTAACATGAATGTGTCCCAAGGGATTACTGAAATAAGACAGTTGGTGCTTATTTTTAAAGTTGGAGGAACCAATATTTTCCCAGTCTTTTGGATTCTATCTTCATACCCAGTACTATTCTACCTTTGTTACAGTTAGAAATCATGAACATGTTTATCTGGTTTCCTGGAGCCTGATGCTTTATCAGCCTTTCCGTGGGCCATTGCTTCATCAACTATAATCACATTATATAGTTATGGAAATCTGTCTCAAGAAAGCATAAAGATCTGCTGGAAAGATACAGTATATATCTCTAGCTCACAGGATATTTGTTTTCATGGTTGTCTACATGAAAGAGAATGATTTTACTATTAAGTTTGACTTGTGAGGTCTGTTTTCATAATGTCTCTTCTTGTAATCTTTTTCCATCTCTCCAATTTCCGTTAAAATGAGACCTGCATGAATGTAATCTAGTCAGGAACCTTATTTCGGGTTTGGTACTAGCAGGCAAAGAAATATTAGTCATCAAAGACTGACTTCATTAAATGAATGTTAAAAATCACAGCATCAAATATACTTTATAAACAGGTCTAGCTTTTGGGTTACTTTTCTTGGTGTTTTTAGGAAGTGATAAAAACTTGGAGCATGCAGTGCTATATTGCAAGGACTGATATATAAACCTCCAAAAATAGTGGCTAACTAGTGCATTTGCAAGAGACTATGAAAACTGAACATCCTTGTACCTTTTTCTTTCTGAAAAACCTGTATTAAATGTTCTTATGTGGAAATTTACTAGTGATATAGCAGAACACTCATTTGATGTTAAAGTAAATCATCCTATTTAAATATAGATGCCCAGTGCATGAACTTCATGCACTTGGGGGGGGGGGCGTGTTCCCTCAGCCTGGCCTGCACCCTCTTGCAGTCTGGGAGCCCTTGGGGATGTCTGACTGATGGCTTAGGGGGGAGCTGGCCTAAGCCATCAGTCAGATGTCCTTAGCACTGCTGCAGAGGCAGGAGAGGCTCCCGCCACCACCGCTGTGCTCACCAGCTGTGAGCTCTGCATTGAGCGTCTGCTCCCTGGTGGTCAGTGCACGTCATACCGACTGGTCATTCTGCCTTTTGGTCAATTTGCATATTAGCCTTTTATTACATAGGATTCACAATAAAACTTCAGTAAGAGGAAAAAAAATGATCTGTCTTGACTATTTAAACTCTGTTTTATTTCTTTTATATTCTTTACATTTCTTTAAATTTATTTTCCCCTTACTGATTATTAAAGTAGTCAATGTTCAATGTAGTAAATTTGGAAAGTATAGATAATTATTAGAAGCAGAGGAAAACACATTCACCCACCCACCCATAATCTTACTACTAAAAGTGCAAATACTATTAATCTTTTGTCATATTTACTTCTAGGTTTATTTATTTTCTATTTTTGAAGCATAATTTAAGTTAGTACCATATATACTTTTCATGTCTTGCTTTTAAAGAAGCAGAACAGCAGTATAAAGCAATTTATATCATTAAGATGTCATAAACATGAGTATACAATAGCTATTTACTTTTGGACCATTTTCTTACTCTTGGGCATTAATTGTTGTTATAAATAACACTGTAGTGAACATCTTTATGCATGGAATGTTACCCACATTTTATTTTGCTTCTTCAGGATAAATTCCTATGAGAGGAATTGATGGCCAAAGGAAATTAATATTTTAAAAACTCTTGATACATATTTCTAAATAACCACCAGAAAATTTATACTGTTTCAGCAGTGAATGAGATGCTTTTCTTTGAATTTCTTGCTTTGTTTTATGAACTCAGATGGTCATACATTTAGAACAAATTGATTCTTTTTTCTCATTTACTTTGAAACTTCACACAAATAAATGGAATATGAAGCAATGTTTCAGGTCTTCAATAATAAAGGAATTAATTGTATTCAAGCATAACATGAGACAACAAAGCAGATCTATTTATTATTTTTACCTTTTTCTTCATCAAATTCTTTATATGGGTGTGCCAACAGTTTGTTCTCTGAGGTATGTATTGGGAAATTAAAATTCCAAGAGAATAGATGAATAAGATAAATAAAATAAAATTGAAGGGATTGCAGTCATTGCAATTATTGGTAATACTAGTAGTCCGGTGCACAAAATTCGTGTACATTAAAAGGGAATTAATTGTCCTAACCGGTTTGGCTCAGTGGATAGAGCATCGGCCTGCAGACTCAAGGATCCCAGGTTCGATTCCATCAAGGGCATGTACCTTGGTTGTGGGCACATCCCCAGTGGGGAGTGTGCAGGAAGCAGTTGATCGATGTTTCTCTCTCATCGATGTTTCTAACTCTCTATCCCTCTCCCTTCCTCTCTGTAAAAAATCAATAAAATATATTTTTTTTAAAAGGGAATTAATTAGCATAGATATTTTAATATTGCTATTTGCCCTTTCTCTATAATAAAAGTGTGAGAGATGAAAGGAAATTAGTAAAATGTATATGAAAATAATATATAAATTTATTAATAAATAAACAGTAACAAAAGGAGCTGATTCCGTGAGGAAAGGGGCTCTCTCCTCCCTCCTGTCAGGGTCCGGGGTGCAGGAGAATGGGGTTCCTGGCTGGCAGGCCACTGACAGCAAGCTATCCAACAGCAGATTCTGTGAGGAATGGGGCTCCCTCCTTTCTACTGTCAGGGTCTGGTTTGAAGGTCAGCCATGCCCCCTGTTGGGCCAGACCCAGAGTTGTACCATGCCATGGCCTCCACCTCTGCAACCCAGGACTGACTGCTGCTGGGCGCTCCTGGTGCTCTGAGGGTGGGTTCTTCCCTAGGCCACACAGGAAACAGCTGTGGAGGGCGCAGCCCTTGGCAAAAAGACCCAGGATTCAG